GAGAGAGAGAGAGAGAGAGACCTGCAGCATGCAGCATGTCAGTGGCGGGGAGCACAAGGGCAGGCGCTGACCTCCAAAAAAAAAAAAAGAAGTAATGTTATTGGAATACACAAGTTTTCTCTCTTCAAAATCTGAATAGAAAGGGTACTTGTTATATTCGAATACAATGCGTACGTTTTCTATTCGAGGAGCTTTGCTTTTCGCGAAAAGTGCACCTGGTACTTGTTATAATTCGAATACAATGTGTACGTTTTCTATTCGAGGAGCGTTGCTATTCGCAAAAAGTGCACCTGCACCCTTTCAATTTTGAAAATGGCTTAAGGACCTCGGCCTCCTACGGGCAGCTACCGGTCCTACGCGTTCCTGGCCCTTGCAAGGCCCCAAAACCTCAAATGCCCACCCTCCCGACGACCACCGACGTTGAAATCGACGTTGAACGTTGGAATGTCTCAGGGGGGGAAAACGCAACCCTGACGGGCTGCGAACAACTCTCAAACAAGAGTGTAGTGCAGCAAGGCCCTAAGTTTTTTTTTTGTTTTTTTTGTTTTTTTTTGTTTTTGGTTGTTGTTGTGAAGCAAGGCCCTAAGTTTTGGTGCAGCCCGCCCGTCGAGATTCCCGCTGTGTGCGGGCGGGCCTCCAGCGCATCTTTGTGAGGGCTCCTACAAGCCCTGGCATCATAGAGGGTATCCATTTTACTCGTCCTATCTCGATTTGTTCTGGGCAACAACAGGTCCAGTTGGCCTTGGCACCAACGGTGCACCTGCCTGTCCGGAGGCTGAAGCAAAATTATTTATCTTCTTAGTTTCTGGATGGCAATCGCAGCCAGATGCATACAGGTCTGGCCGTAGTGGCCGTCAGATGCAGTTTGAAAAGTGCTAAAGCCTACGGTGGTGTGAGTACGCCCTCAGTCGGTACACCTGTGAACTGTCAAATACAAACCAGGAACCACGCGCTGAGCCCACGGCCGAGGTCCCACTAGCAAAAAGGATAGGATCGAGCTCCTGAATCTGGATGTGTTTTCAGCAGAATGCAGAAAAGCAGTTCAATCTCGATTTCCTGCACATCTCCATAAACTTGTCCAGATTCAGGCATTCGATCCGATCCTCTTTGCTACCCTAGTGGGACCACGCCCCAGATCGCCAGGCCTACGTGGCGATAACCCGTCCTTAACGGATAAAATGGTCCTATCCAGCCACGTACCCCCGAAAACACAAGGAAAGTAAGAAACGTCTTTCGAAAGAAAAAAAAAAAAAAAAAAAAAAAAAACTTTCAGTACACCATGCTGCTTGTGGGCAGAATGGCAGAAACGTTTTGGAGTGTGGTGAAGTCTAACAGTGTCTAAGAGGTGAGGTGAGGTTAGAGTTCGAAGCAGTTTATATGTCTGAATATTGAGGGATGGGTTCCCGGTTCGGCTGGGACCGTAAGCTAAACTGGCTGATGCTACCAGGATAACTCTGGGTTGAATTGTGAGGTGAAGATTAATTGGTTTGAAATATAATAATGCCCAATTGTTAAAAAAAAAAAAAAAAAAAAAAGAATGGCAGAAATGGCATCGTTTGTTATTTCTGAATATATGGACTGCTTTCTTTTGAAAAAAAGAAAAAAGAAAAGAAAGAAATGGCTTTGCGGATGCTAAGTTCATGCTAAGGGCGTACTCAAACTACGTAGCGCTCTCTTTAAATGTATCGGACTGCATTTACGGCCGCCTTTGGATGCATCTGGCTTCAATTCCATCCCCAAATAAGTGAAAAAGTCCAAAGTGTGAGCATCTCCTAAGACAACACTAATTCGGCCCACGCACTGGCCCACGCACCCTCAGGGCATACTCACAGTACTGTAGGTGCTCGTGGGAGTAAGTATGCGTTATGCTCAGGGGAAGATTGGTGGTAGCGGTAGTGGGCCCTGCTCTGGGGCCAAGTCCCACTACCGGTAGCAGCTTTGAGTTTCCTCAACACCTGAATCTGGACGTGTTTGTGGTGATTTGCGGTCGAGGAAACTCAACGCCATTTCTGCACATGCTCCACAAACACGTCCAGATTCATGCGTTGAGGAAACTCAACGCTGGGCCCCCGTTTGAGACGAGGTTGGGTAGAGTGATTTTGATGGTCGAAGGCAAAATCGCTGTGGAAAAGAGGACTGGGAGGAACCACTACCGAGCTGTCTGGAGCGTTCTCTCTCTCTCTCTCTCTCTCTCTCTCTGTGTGTGTGTGTGTGTGTGTGTGTCTCTGGACGTGATTGAGGTCAGATGCATCCAGGTCCGGTCGTACATGCCGTCCGATATTGCTTATATCTGTGGACGTAATTGAGGTCCGACGCATCGTAAATGCCTTCAGATAAATTTGCGATGGAGCTATCTTCTCTCTCCGAATACAACGTACGGTCATTACAGCTGTATCTAGACTGAAATATGCGTCAAATACAGCTATAATGACCGTACGTTGTATTCGGGGGAAGAAGGGGGTAGTGTGAGTACCCCCTCTCTATGGCATCATGCTTGGTGTAGTTAGTACTTTTTTTATTTTTATTTTTTTTTGTAATTATTAAAAGCTATGTTCTTCTCTCACTTAGTACTTTTTCCCTTTCATAATCCTGTGTAGGCTGTATTATTGGTGGTTTTTGCTTTCGTTAAGTCTCCTTATGAACTCTCGCTGTATTATTTGCTGCGTTTTGCTTTCGTTAAGTCTCCTTCCAAAGGGTGTTTTGAACTCTCGATTTGGTGATCAACATCCGCATAGGCGCGTCATTGTGTGTATGTCTATGACGATAAAGTGCTGAGTAAGGATCTCAGGACTTCCACCACGCAGGAGCTCCATCTCAGCCATCGATTAGCTGAATCGACGGTCAAGAAGAAAGACAGCAAATACGAACCCACCCGTGAGTCAGCACCATTGTATATTGTACTCTAATCTTAACCACACCCATTACTATGGTAATCAGAGCCATGTTTTTAATGTACGGAAAAGAGATAAGCGGGCGGATTATTTAGGAGGGGAGGGGAGAGTGAGAGGTGCCCACTAGCGAGGAGAGTGGAGGAGGAGAGGAGAGAAGAGGAGAGAAGAGGAGAGGAGAGGAGAGGAGAGGAGAGGAGGAGGGGAACATGGAAAAGACGACAAGGACAAGAGGACGGTGGTTGACTTCAACAATAGGTCCGTCATCAGGGGGAGGATGAAGAAGAAATGCACAACGCATGAGTGATGGGAGCGATGGCCGCCTGTAAAAATGAGGGCGGCAGCCGGACTTGGTGATTATATAACCACAATCATCAAGTGCACGTGTCACGTGGCAAAGCGCAATTGGATAAGATCGCCGTAATTCATAACAGATATCGGCGCGCAGTACATAGTGCATGTATTTTATCGTTAAAAATAATAGTGCCTGTACTTCATAGATACGCGCTTTGGCATGACCATTGCGTGTGCTCAATACGTGCTTTGCCACGGCTATTCCATGTACTCATTTAGTACGTGATTTGCCAGGGCTATTCTGCATGTACTAACTACGTGCTTTGCCGCCGCTACTGCGCGTACTTACTAGTAGTACGTGCATGGCCGACTCTTTGGTCTAACTCTTTGTCCCCTTCCTTTTCATCCTCCTTCACAGCGCGCCAATTACCGTGCGCGCAGCCATAATTATCTCAGGCTTATCCTCGCAGCGAGTCTGGCATCCAGATGCCACGTCACTTAACAGCTCATCTTCATCTTCACCTTCCGCCACGCATCCCATGCGACGTCTGACACTCACTTGACACCCTCTACACCCCTTGACCCCTTCTCTCTCTCTCTCTCTCTCTCTCTCTCTCTCTCTCTCTCTCTCTCTCTCTCTCTCTCTCTCTCTCTCTCTCTCTCTCTCNTCTCTCTCTCTCTCTCTCTCTCTCTCTCTCTCTCTCTCTCTCTCTCTCTCTCTCTCTCTCTCTCTCTCTCTCTCTCTCTCTTTCTCTCTCTCTCTCGCTTGCGTTTGGTGCACCCCCCCTCACGTGTCTCGTTTATAAGCTTCTCTGTTAACGCTGAACCCTTCTCCAACCCTGCTTCCCCCCCCGCGAATGTGGGTGGGTGTGTGCCCCTTCTGCTCTGCGTTCCCATACCAAACTCCTTAGGCTGCCCCGCCCCCCTTCCGCACCCTTCTTTTCCCTCTGTTCTCCTCTCATTTACTAGAGAAGGCAGGTTGATTGATACCCAAAATAGAACAGTGATGCAAATTTAGCGTCACGCCGCTCAGCTTGGTCGGGATTCCTTGGGGTGTCTTGTCTGTCCCTCCGTCATCCAGTTCCTTTGTCGTTTTGTGCGCGACTGCATGCGTTCCTTCCTTCCTTCCGTCCTCACTCTCTTTCTGTCCCTCTCCCTCTCTCCCTCTCTCCCTCTCTCCCTCTCTCCCCTCTCTTTGTCGCTCTGTCTTTTCTCTCTCTTCTGTCCAGTTCTTGTCCTTCGCTTCTGTCTCGCCCTTCTCCCCCTCATCTTGCCTGCGCTCTCACAGCCGTCCGAAGGGCTCCTCTCGAGGGGCAGGAAGGACCATACAACTTCCTCCCCTCCTCTTCTCGCTCTGAACAAACGTGACTCACTGCGCAAAAGTATACCGCTCTGCTCTCTAGTCCGTTGTTAAGCACCTACAGCTCAGTCGCGTCGGACCTTTCTCTGCTCCTATCCCTTACCTCCGCTACGTCATTACGCGGGTCACCACGCGCAATCCTGAGCGCGTTTTCTTCCTCCTCTTTTTTTTTTTTTTTTTCCTGATTGAAATTTCCAATTCTTACGCGCGATTTGAGTAATCTGCTAGATACTTTGTACTTGTTGCTAGGCCGACGGGAAAAAGAGAGGATCGACCCACAGCAACACACACACACACACACACACACACACACACACACACGCACACACACACACACACACACACACACACACACAGAGAGAGAGAGAGGCATTGATTGAGGGAAAGCGTTCGCGCAATTTCACTGAGTAGCGCGGGGTGATATGGCGGGACGGGGCGTGGCTCGCGCGGAAGGGCGCCTTCAAGTTCTGAACGACCAATTAACAGAGAGGCGATTTTCTGATCATCATTCTGTTGATGCTACTACTCTCGATAGGCACGGCGGCGGAGGAGGAGGAGGAGGAGGTTTATCCCTGGAACCAACGAGAGGCAGCGGCGGCGGCGGCGGGGGCGGCGAGGGCGGCGGGGGCGGGGAGTTCGTACAGCACGCCGGGTACAGTGTCGTGCTTCCAGAGAAGCTTGCTGAGGGTAAGTGGAACGTCTACAGGTCCGCGAAGTTTCCCCTCCACCTCGTCCATCATTTCGTCGACATCCCATCTATCTCCACCCTCCACGAGAATTTCGAGTACGCGGAGCGCAGATTCGCCAACGAGCCCGCGCTGGGCACACGTGTCCGTCCCGACGGGACCCTTGGTAAGTACGAATGGCGGACGTACGCGGAATGGGGGGCTGCGCGATCTGCTTTCGGCTCAGGCCTGGTTCAATTCGGCATCCCCAAGGGGGCCAAAGTGGGTCTCTACTTCATCAATCGTGAGGAGTGGTTGATTGCCGAGCAAGGCTGCTTTGCGTACGGAATGGTCCCGGTCCCGTTGTACGACACGTTGGGACCTGATTCCGTCAAGTACATCTGTAATCATGCCGATCTGACGGTGGTGGTGTGCACGCGGGACAAGCTGCAGACCGTTGTCGAGTGCTTGGACGAGTGCCCCGCTGTACGGCTGGTTGTGGTGATTGGCCCGCCGGACCAGGTGGTCCCGCAGCCCCACTTGAAGAACCAGTGTGAAATCGTCTCCTTCTCCAGACTGGAATCGCAAGGCAAGATTAGTATCCTCCCCTTCGCCCCTCCCCAGCCGTCCGATCTTGCCACGATCTGCTACACCAGCGGGACCACCGGCAATCCCAAGGGCGCGTTGCTCACTCACGCCAATCTTGTGGCGGGAGCGGCCGGGATCTGTACCACGATCGAGGTCTACCACGGGGATGTCCACATGTCCTACCTCCCCCTCGCGCACATCTACGAGCGGGCGAACATTCACGGAATGATCCATGTCGGGATGGCCATCGGGTTTTATCAGGGCGACCCGCTCAAGCTGCTTGATGACATGATTGAGCTCCGGCCTACCATCTTCACCAGCGTGCCCCGACTTTATAATCGGATTTACGATCGGATTATGGCCACGGTGAAGAGCTCCGGGGGTATCAAAGAGCGCTTGTTCCACGTGGCTTTCAATGCGAAAAGGCGTGCTTTGGCTGAAGGCAGGACCCCCTCATCCATTTGGGACAAACTGGTGTTTAACAAGATAAGGGAGCGGATTGGAGGCAGGGTCCGCATCATGGTGACAGGGGCGTCGCCCATCTCGCCGGAAGTGTTTGACTTTTTGAAGGTGTGTTTTGGCGGCAGAATTGTCGAAGGGTATGGGATGACCGAGACTTCTTGTCTTATCTCGTGTACGGATGATGGTGATACCACGTCGGGACACGTGGGATCCCCTAGCCCCTCGTGCGAGGTCAAGCTCGTTGACGTCCCTGAAATGCAGTACACCTCCGGCGATAAACCGTACCCACGTGGCGAGATCTGCGTACGTGGTCCGATCATTTTCCAAGGGTACTTCAAGGACAAAGCACAGACGGCAGAGATGGTAGATGGGGATGGATGGCTGCACACGGGGGACATCGGGATGTGGCTGCCACGTGGCAGGCTGAAGATCATCGATCGCAAGAAGAACATCTTCAAGCTGGCCCAGGGGGAATACATCGCCCCGGAGAAGATCGAAAACGTGTACATACGCAGCCCTTTCATCGCTCAGTGCTTCATCCATGGCGACAGCTTGAACGCCTACTTGGTAGCCGTCGTTGTCCCCGACTTTGAGGTCTTGGAGAAGTGGGCCAAGTCGAAAGGGATAGGCAAGGTAGAAGATCACGCCGCCTTGTGCGGCAAGAAGGTGGTCAATGATATCGTGTTGACGTCCATGAATGAAGCTGCGAAAGAGGCCAAGCTGAGGGGATTCGAGTTAGCAAAGAGAGTGTACTTGTCTGCAGAACCTTTCACGGTGGAGAACGGCCTCCTCACTCCCACACTCAAGATCAAACGCCCGCAAGCGAAGGCTATGTTTGCCAAGCAGATCGACGATATGTACAGCGAGATCGCCAAGACGGAAGGATCGGCGGTCATCATCACTACCAAGTGAAGTAGCTGTTCTAGTACACTATACCGCCTTGCTGATGCTGATGATGATGGTTTTGTTTCTCTCTCCTGCTTTGCGTAACCCCCACCATGAACCCCTACTACTTGGTCCTCTTCTCTCTCCATCCTTGGACCGGTTTGTCCTTCAATGACCCCGCCGTTGGTCCTGTCCTCAGTTGGGGGGTTCTTGGCCCACTTGGTTCTCTTATCTCTCGTGGTCCTTGAACCACGTGATCCTTCTCTCTCTTCGTTCTTGAACCATTTGGTCCTCTTGTCTACCTTGGTCTTCGAACCAGCTGGTCCTTGTCTACCTTGGTCTTCGAACCAGCTGGTCCTTGTTCGAACCAGCTGGTCTTTCTCTTACCTTGGTTCTCGAACGGGTTGGTCCTTGTCTACCTTGGTCTTCGAACCAGCTGGTCCTTGTCTACCTTGGTTTCCGAACCAGCTGGTCTTTCTCTTACCTTGGTTCTCGAACGGGTTGATCCTTCTCTACCTTGGTCTTCGGACCAGCTGGTTCTTCGTCGCCTTGGTTTTCGAACCAGCTGGTCTTTCTCGTACCTTGGTTCTCGAACGGGTTGGTCCTTCTCTACCTTGGTTTTCGAACACGCTGGTCCTTCTCTACCTTGGTTTTTGAACCAGTTGGTCCTTCTCTCTTGGTCCTTGCGTGAACCACTTTGTCTTTCTCCCCTCAGCGTCGGGTCGGCGACCTCGACATTGAAGAGAGCAGGCCAACGAAAGAGCAAAATAGGGCGGAGGGCTTAAGAGAGCGGAGAACGGCTTTGACCTGTTTGATCGCCCTGGTCGTTTCCGTCTGCCAGGTTCCGTCTCTGACCGATGGGCGAGTGCCAAGGAGGAGGGAGAGAGGAAGGAAGCACTGAGAGAGGGAGAGAGAGAGAGAGAGGAGGAGGTGGGAGAGAGGGAGGGAGTTGTGAACTTTCACGATGAGACCATGATGATGATGATGATGATGATGACGAGGAGGAGGAGAAGGATATTGAGTGGAAGAAGGGGAGGAGGGTAGGAACAAAATCGATTTTCATTGGCGAGTTACATTGACTGCGTCTTGTCGGTGTGAGAGAGAGAGAGAGGGAGAGAGTGGGAGAGACGAGAGATTGCATGATGAATAGACGACGACGACGATGATGATGATGATGATGATGATAATGAGGAGGAGGAGGAGGAGGAGGAGGAAGGAGGAGGAGAAGAAGAGGAGGAAGACGGTACTGTTTGACATAGTGGGTGAGAGAAGAAGAGGATCCTTATGGGGTGCCGTGCATCTATCTCTTCGCCTTCCCTCGTTAATCTCTGGACACGTGTTGGGCGCTCGTTGAGAGTGATGCGCGGCGCCATTCTTTCGCGTTGCTGAATATTGTGATCCTTGATGGTTGATGGTGATGTCGACGGTGGTTGTTTCGTTTCTGGTGATGATAATCATCGTAGTAGTTTCGGTTTTGGCGATGATGATGATGATGATGATGATGATGATGATGATGATGATGATGGCAAGGACGAGGAAGAAGGGGAAGAAGAAGAGTTGGAATTTTTATACCAGCGTTGATAAGCTAATAAGCTACTTCAGTCTTGAAAAAGTTGTATTTGGAGATTTGCAAGTGAGATGAGAGAGAGAGGAGGCGATCTCCTCACAGGCTACTTTAGTCTTAAATTCGCGAGTTCAATTGGGAAAAGAAAGCGCGAGAGATTTAGAGAGGGAGGAGGGAGAGGAGTGGCCCTCTCCCCGGCGGCCCTACTTCCTTCGCGCGTAGTACGGAATTTCGGTAGTCCGAGGTGAGAGATGGGAGTATAGGAGAAACCAATCTTCCTCGTTAGAGACGTTGACGTCATCGAACGACTCTTTGATGACGTCAACGTCTCTCAAATTCGCAGTTCTGTTGCCGCTTGATTGGTGGTGAGATGGAAATGGAAGGAGAGAGAGAAGGGAGGGGAGGGGGGGGCGGGAGAGGGGGAGAGACGGGGAAGGGGAGGGGGGAAGGCTGAAGAGAGGAAGTGAATAAGGTGTAGATTAATGTAAATGGGAAATGAGGTACCTCAGTACTTTGTGTAAGTCTGTTGTGCACTGAGTCGTTCGTAGGATGAGCAATCATCATCCTTTGATAGGTATATATATATATACAGTTTGTCACAGCCCCTCGTTTGTTGTCCTCTTCTCTCTCTCTGCCTACGGTTTACCGGGCAGTTCTATTTGTGGCGATATATATACATGTGACCATATATATGACGATATATACATACATAACATATATAGCTACACAAGACTCCTGGGCGTTGTGTTTTTTTTTTTTTTTCTTGTCTTTTTCCTACTTCTTGCCAGTGCCGCTCGCCCTTACTTGATGATAGAGATGCAATACACATACACACACTACATATATACGTATATATATATACATTCAGACATAGATGGATTGAGTGTTGAAGGAAAGGGAGGGGGGACCCTTCACTTTGTCCTTGTTCATTTTTGCTGTGCTGAGTGAGTGCACTGCAGCAGACGGTTGACGTCATCAACTGAAAACGGAACCAAATCGTTTTCTTTTCCTCTTGGCGGTAATAGATTGAAATCCAAAAGGGAACGGAACGGAATGCAACGGAACGGAACAGAAAATGGAACAGAAAACGGACCGCAGCAGAACGGAGCTGAAGGGGACGGGACGGAACGGTACTGAGTGCAGTGCACCAGATGGTTTGTTGGCATCATTGGCTGAAAGCGGAACGGAATCGTTTTCTTTTCCCCTCGGGGGTGATAGACTGAAATGCAAAACGGAACGGAACGGAACAGAACACGTCATCAGGAACGGAAGAGAATAACGGACTGGAAGGCGACGGAAAGTACACAAAAGAGGAGGAGATGGGAGGAACGGAACCGAGCGAGTCGAAACGGAACGGAACGGAACGGGATGGAACGGGATGGGAGGAGAGGAGAATGGGACTGCAACCGCGCGACAGGCCCAAGCGCACTGATGTTGTTCGAACGACAGCAGGTATAGTAAACCTCGGTTGGGCAGCTGAGCTACCGGTAGGCGGCTGGGCAGCTAAGCTACCGGTGGGTTTTGGGAGGAAGAAGGACCGGTAGCAGATGGTCGAAACGAGGAGAAGGAGGGAGAAGAAGTAGATGGCGCTGTATTCAAGTGCTGGAAGGCATCCAAATTATTCCCCGTCAGTCATGATGTGTGTATTATTTTACCCCCTTCAGAGGGGATGAAGGATATGAGGGGGTCATTCAATTCGCCTTGTTGTTGGCAAATGGATGACACCGATATTTTTGGAATTTGTGGGAGGTGGATCGAGTGTTATCGCGTTTTGTGCATGAATGTGGCGTGAATGTGGCCCAGGTTCGCAAGTGACAGAAACCAGGTGTTGTTTGATGGAGGAGGAGGAGGAGGAGGAGGAGGAGGGAGAGTTTTCGCGGGCATGGAGTGGCCAATCAGAGCTGAGGACAGTCTGTGCACTGTGCAGCCTTTTCCTTAATTACAACGTTGTTGGCAAGTCAATAGTGTGCCTTATTGTCTTTTTTTTTTTTTTTTTTTTTTTTTTTTTTTTTTTTTTTTTTTTTTTTTTTTTT